AATTTACGACGTCTCTTTCCCCTCAAACATTGCACAACGTCTCCATTTGAGCAGCTAGTATGCGGGATTTTCCCTCCGCGTATCAGCAGACTCGATCATAAATATTTTTTGGTGGAAAATATCTATAACAAGGAAGCTGATCAAGGAATGCCGAATATACCATTCAATTGACAATAAAAATTACAACCCGTTTATATATCGAAAAAAGTGTAGAAGTCGCAGACATGATGAACAATAATATTCAAAGTTTCTTGAAATTTCCTCTCATTAAAACTCTTTTAATACAAAGTTTACATATTTTTTATTACTGGTCGACGCTTATAAATAAATAGCTGGGTAAGTATGGAAAAATTCATATCGCCATCTCATTTGCGAGTGGAGTAAAGTCTATCCTAATTAGTGAAGAAACGCTTAGGGAAGAGCCGAGCCTGTTCGAAGCCTCTCGGCTTTCAATCAGGGCCTTAAGTCAAGCCTCTGCTTCCTGTGCGTGACAATAGCGAGCACCGCCGCACCTGCCTCACCCCTGTCATATTCTGCTGTGTTATTCATCATTCATATTCAGCTGTGTTATTCATCATTCATATTCAGCTGTGTTATTCATCATTCATGCTCAGCTGTTCCAACAGGTGCAGTGGACTTCTTAGAGAGGAGGAATGAGTGGGCTTTGTAAACAGGGAAAGAGAGTGGGCAACTGGGACAACAGGAATAGGCTGTCCCAACGGCCGAAATGATTGAAAAATCGGAAGACAGCTTTGACAAAAATTCGAGTGGGTTTTCGAGTGGGTTTTCGAGTGGGGTGTACCCACGAAGCATGGAGTGGGCTTTCGAGTGGGAGATTCTCGAGAGGAAAAAGTCGAACTGAGCATCCCTCTCTAGACTGGGAATTGGCGTTGGTTGTGGGATTTTAAATCTTTCCCTAAGTGGTTTGGCGAGGAAAAAAGTGAAAAAATTCAATCACTTGTGTGAAGACTGAATTTTTTCTTGGTCGCAAATGTCATATTTTTTTCGGGTGCTATGAAAGAAGTGGCTTGTGTAAACGTAGAAAACCTACTAACAATACAATATCGTTACAAATTCGTCACAATATTATTGCAATTTCGTTACCTTTCGTTACAATTTCGTCACAATATCGCTTCAATATAGTGAATGAATCTCAGCGTATATGTTAGTAAATGATTGAAGTGAAGAAAATGAGTCCATTAAGAATGGATTCGCTTTAGAAGAAGCTCCTTACAAATATCGAAAAATTTGCCGGAAATTCAGGATATATAAGACTAAAAAATCTCAGCGTATGTTGGTAAATGATTGAAGTGAAGAAAAAGAGTCCAATAAAAACTAATTTGCTTTAGAAAAAACTCTTTAACTATCTCACAAATTTGGCAGGAAATTCAGGATATATAATGTTAAAAAAGTTCAATTCAAAGCCTTTTCGGTATAAAACTTGAGGAACTTTATCGTTACTCTGAACTTTTCATCCCAATCAGAACTCAGCAGGCGTTGTTGCTCTGAATTCATCTTTGTTTCCCTATCCTTTCCTTTATCCTGAGAAGGGAAATCGCCTCAGGTCGCGTGGCGTGTTTGTCCTGTCCATCCAAAACCGCCTGGCTATTCTATCCGGAGGACAGAGTCTCTATCCGGCGCACCGAGTCTCTATCCAGCGCACCGAGTCTCTATCCGGCACACCGAGTCTCTATCCGGCGCACCGAGTCTCTATTCGGCGCATCGAGTCTCTGTCCGACGCACCGAGTCTCTATCCGGCGTACCGAGTCTCTATCCGGCGCATCGAGTCTCTATCCGGCGTACCGAGTCTCTATCCGGCGCACCGAGTCTCTATCCGACGCGCCGAGTCTATATCCAGCGCACCGAGTCTCTGTCCAGCGCACCGAGTCTCTATCCAGCGCACCGAGTCTCTATCCAGCGCTCCGAGTCTCTATCAGGCGCACCGAGTCTCTATCCGGCACACCGAGTCTCTATCTGGCGCACCGAGTCTCTATCCAGCGCATGCA